ATAGCCAGTGTCTAAATTGCCCATCCCTATCAACTATGTAACCTGAGGAAACAAGGTTGTTCCTTGATACGAAGAATCCTTCCATTTCAGTTGGAATTTTGAGCAACTCCATTCATAAGCAAAAGTACAATTCAGAAAATTATAGCAATTGCACTTGCTCACAATATCAAACATCTTTATCTCCATCTAGTCATCTTTTGGTCAGTTCGCCATACAAGCTAGGTCAAATGGGTACTAGCAACAAGTTTGGGAATTCACACACACATCTCCCTAAAGTTCAGACCAGCTGGCTGCTTCACTCTCAACCCCAGCCTCCAGGGGTTAGGTTAATAACCCATGGGCTCAGGAGTTCACACGTCTCCCTAAACTTCAGACCAGCCAGTCCTATTCTCTCTTTCAATTCAAGGTCAGCAGGTGCCAATAGAACATGCCCATACTTAGCCCATGTCTTCATGGCTGCATTTACCCCACTTCCATTTATATACAGACACAGGTTGTCACCAGCAAGCATATACTAGATGGCTAGTGAGTTCCATTTAAGCTTTAGTCCTGCTGTTGTTAAGTGCCATTGAGTCAATTCTGACCCATAGCCACTCTGAATAGGGTTTTCAAGGAGCAGTTGGTGAGCTTGAACCACCAACCATGCGGTTCAAATGACTTTGCAGTCTGATGCATTAGCCCACAGCACTACACCAGGACTCTAAGGGGGTTTTCCCTGAAGGGCTGACTTTTTTTTCCTTAATGCCTCCAAAGCCAACAGCTGGTGTTTCTTTCAATAAGAAATTTCTGTTCTCTCAGCAGTTTTGGGTTGGTCTGCAAGTTTCAAGTAGGAATGTCACAACTCAGAAGTGAACCACCAATCTTGTGGTTAGCAGTCCAGTGCTTATCTTAAGCACCACACCAAGTCTCCAAGTTCATTATTGAGTGAGGCAGTTGGAGGGCAGAGGTAGAGGGTTTTACTGGAAATCACTTGGTGGTTGGATATAGATGTCGATTAGTCATCTAGTGCTGCTATTACAAAAATACCACAGGTGGATGGCTTTAACAAACAAATTTATTTTCTCACAGTTTAGGAAGCTAAACCCCAAATTCCTTAACTCCTGTCAATATCTGTGGGCCCAGTATTTCTTGCAGATGTATGTCTTGGTATCAATCTTCACCTGGGTCCAGGAGGTTCTCAGCGTAGGGTCTCTGAATCCAAAGGATATGCTCCCATCCCAGCTCTTCTTTCTTAGTAGCTTTCTTAGGTCCCCTCCCTCTGCTGACTTTTGTGTACTTTTATCTCTTATAAGATAAATTATGCAACTCAAGGAAGTATGTGATTTGAGTAAGCATGTAACTTAAGGGTGGGATTTGAGTAAGAGTGATTTGAGTCATGTTTTATAATATACAGCCCACACTTATCTTGCCTCAGTAATAGTACATTGTTGTTGGTAAGTGCCGTTGAGTTGATTTCAACTCATGCCAACCCTGTATAGGATTTCTGAGGAGCAACTGGCAGGACTGAACTGCCTACCTTGCAGTTCAAACTGATCTTGCAGCCCAGTGCTTATCCTACAGTGGTATACCAGGACTCCCCATAGCAGTATGTTGTTGTTGTTAAGTGCTGTTGAGTTGATTCCAACTCATACCAACCCAATATAGGGTTTCCAAGGAGCAGTTAGTGAATTTGAACCATCAACCTTGTGATTCAAACTGACTTTGTGGTCCAGTGAATTATCCCACGGTGTCACACCAATACTGCACTTCAATAACAGTATGTTGTTGTTAGGTGCCAGTGAATTGATTCTGACCCATAGCGACCCTGTATAGGGTTTCCAAGGAGCAGCTGGTGAGCTTGAGCTACTGACTCTTGTAGTTCTAACCAACTTTGCAGTCAAGCATGTTAGCCAACAGTGTCACACCAGGACTCCAACAACAGTATGTTGTTGTTGTTGTAATAACAGTATAGAGGTTACAATTTACAACACATCATATAGCGGAGGATAAAGAAATCTGGCCAACTGATTGGAAGAGATCCATATCTGTGCTCATTCCAAAGAGAGGTGACACAACAGAATGAGGAAATAATCAGACGATATCTTTGATATCCCATGCAAGTAAAGTTTTACTAAAAGTAATACAGAAATGGCTACAAGCATACATTGACAGAGAACTTCCAGAGGTTCAAGCCAGATTCAGAAGAGGCTGTGGAATGAGGTATATGTCATTGCTGATGTCCAATGGATCTTGGCTGAAAGCAGAGAATATCAGAAAGATGTTTACCTACGCTTCATTGACTACACAAAGGCTTTCAATTGTGTGGATCATGACAAGCTACAGACAACATTGTGAAGTATGAGTATTCCAGAACACTTAATTGTACTCATGAGGAATCTGTATCTGCACCAAGAGGCAGTTGTTTAAACAGAACATGGGAACACTGAATGGTTTAAAATTAAGAAAGGTGTGTGACAGGGTTGTATTCTTTCACCATACTTATTCAACCTGTATGATGAGCAAATAATCCGAGAAGCCCGGTTATATAAATCATCACCACTGAACCAATGAACAACATTCTTATCAATAGAGAAAAGATTGAAGTTGCAAAGGACTTCATTCTTCTTGGATCAACTATCAACACTCATGGAAGCAGCAGTCAAGAAATCAAATGATCTATTGCATTAGACAAATCTGCTGTACAAGACCTTTTTTAAAGTATTGAAGAGCAGAGATGTCAGGTTGAAAACTAAGGTGCGCCTGACCCAAGCCATGGTATTTTCAGTAACCTCATATGTATGTGAAAGCTGGAATCATAAATAAAGAAGACCATAGAAGAATTGATGCTTTTGAGTTATCATCTTGGAGGAACATATTGAAAGTGCCATGGGCTGCCAAAAGAACCAACAGATCTGTGTTGGAAACAGTGCAGCCAGAGTGCTCCTTGGAAGCCAGGATGGCCAAACTTTGTCTCTTATACTTTGGACATACTGTCCGGAGGGATCAGTCACTGGAGAAGGATATCATGTTTGGTAAGGTGGAGAGTCAGAGAAAAAGAGGAAGATCCTCAGCGAGATGGATTGGCAAAGTGGCAGCATCAATTGGCTCAAGCATGGTAAGGAGAGTGAGGCTGGCCTGGGATCGGGCAGTGTTTCGTTCTGCTGTGCATATGGTCGCTATGAGTCGGTACTGACTTGATGGCACCTAACAACAACAATTATATCAAATCACAAAATTGAGAACAACCACACAACACTGAGAATCATGGCCTAGTCAAGGTGGCGGGGGTGTGTGTGGGGGAAGGATGATATCTATGATATCTATCAAACAACAATCCATGATATCTATCAAACAACATAATTGAGTATCGTTGCTACTGAAAAAATTGAATAGCCCAAAATCCAATGTCTTAAGACACTGTTCAGGTTCCTGGTCTCAGTTACCTCAGTCCCACTCTGCTCAGTCTTGTTACTTTTGCTGTTCATCTATATCAGTGACAGTATAGCCTTTAAGATTTGTTTTTTGTGGCAGAGTGCTGCGTTATTACTTCACTGCTCAAAAGTCTCCCCCATTATTACAGGCATCTTGCATCCAACATCATTGTTTCTCAGTAATCTCTCTCATGCACCTTTCATTTCAGCCAAACTAACCCACATTCATTTTGTTTTTGAGAGTGTCTCCTTCCATTCTCTACCTTTAAATTCTACTTTACTCAAAACCTGTATCAAATGTTACCTTTTCCAAGTTGTTATTTCCTTTTCACCCATAACAGTTGTGAACTCTCCTTTTTAACTGCTCTCACCTTCCCCTGATGAAGAATATCTTTGCTTCTTTTATAGTCCCCAAAATACCCTGCTTATATAATGATTATTTGTACAATCAAATGTCTACTTCATCTTTATATCACTCACCACACTTAAACCAATGCTAACTGAGCAAAATGTTCAACAGATGGATGTCATTTTGAGATGTCATTAAATAGCTAGCATATTTTTAAGTGCTTAGAGAACCACTGACAATCAGAAGATATGAGCTCTACCCCCCAGAAATATCTTAATATTTTGTGGGATAGC